GGGGGGGGGGGCGCATGGCCTCTATTTTTCAGGGGGGGTTCGGGTACTAGTTGGGGGTCGTTTCTATGTGAACTGCATCCTCGAATTGTCCCCTCACTATAGCTACTGTGGATTTCAGTATACAGCCATCCTTACTCAACGCGTCCATGTGTCCGGCGATCTCCAATACAAATCAACCTGTGAGCTTTCCGTATGCAGCTTTCGTCACTCAATGCGGCTATGTGTCCGGCAGTCGCAGACGTCACTCAACCCGTTAGGTCTCAATATGCAGCCATCCTCACTCAAAGCGTCCATGTGTTTGGCACTATCCAGCATCACTCAACTCGTGAGGTTTCAGCTATCCCCACGCAGCGTGTCTATGTGTCTGGCAAACTCAAAAACCAATCCATCTGTGATTAGGGGGGGGGGGGGGGGTAGTCCTGTAATCGAATGCCCTAGTCGGTAGACCGTTGGCCTCGCATCCCTACAATACCAGGACGGCGCGGTATGCCGGGCTTTTGCCGGCCCAGGCTACGTTTTACAATGATGGACCAGAAGCTGGTCATGATCCTTGCGTGTATGGGGTTTGCCTATTGTAGGCGTGCTACTGGTGAAGTAAACGGAAGTGAATTAAGCACCACTTACAGCTTGTTGACGTGACGTCATCGACACCTCTCGCGTAGACTGGAGATCACATTTCCACACAGTACAGTACGAGTCAACTCGGAACGTGCCGGGCTTCGATATCGATGGTAATTTTTATGTCCGTGGTCAGTCGAGCGTCTCCATGAGGGGTTCCCCTTTCCACGCGATCGTGTGTGCTGATTCGAATCACCGGCGTTGAAGGTCGTCTTGGCCGTCCAATCAGTTGCCGACGATGAATTATGTGGCGTCTTTCTTCACCAAGCGTGTGCTCGGGAATGATTTCTTTTTTTGGCGTTGTCGTGAGAAGGTGCGCAAGCTGGACGAGAGCGGGCAGAGAAGCATCGAGCTGCAGGCTGCCTACGCGGAGGACCTAAACCAGGGGCTCCTCAAGGTGCGAACGGCCTAACGTACCGCAGGCGACACGAGGTATCGCACACCCCGGACCCATTGTCAGAGCTCGACTACTCCACGACGAAGATACGGTAGGGAGACTGATTTACCGACTCCCTGTTTAGCGATATGCCCTCTGTAGCGACGACAAAATCAGGTCGCACCGCCACACCTCCGTAGTGCTGCTATATAGTTGGTGCTTCGGCTTTGCGCCTTGCCCTGAATAGCGGCGACACTTCGTCGTGACAGTAGGGGTCGCTAAGCCGCCCACCCGCCATAAGGATACGCCCCCCCCCCCCCCCCCCCC